CTGAGCCAAGACTTGGTGTGTTCGCTAGAGACGACTCAGCAGGCTTTGTAAAAGAGTGCAGAAGTTGCTGTGGCTGGCTGAAGTTGAACAATACAGAACAAACCCAGTTTAGAAGGCCCTTTACCTCACACACACACACACACACACACACACACACACACACACACACACACAACGGCATCATTCAGATTTGCAGATCACACAGTACGCTATTATATTTGCTCTATCCCCCCCAATCACCCCTTATACTTGGCAACCCAAACCACCCTAGTAGTCGGTGAGGCCAGTGACAGCACACAAGCAATGGGCTACTTGTCACGTGATTGTTGGAAACACAACTCCATGTAGGCACAATACAGCAAGCAGTTTTTGCATTTAAAATCATTGTATTATGGATCAAGTACTGTGGCAATACATCACCAGATGAGAACCTGAGAATGAGTCTTTATGATGCCTAAAGTCATCCAAACCAGACGAAAAGAAAGTACAGTGTTGACAAAACCCAGACGAAACACGAAACTCCATCTGCATCCTAGGTGCATCTCAACCCTCAGAGGCCCTAAACACTGTATGTAACTATAAAATGCATCTTTATATAAGCCTTTACACAAGTTCTCTATATATTTCCAGCTCACCCTCATCATCATGACTGCAGGAGGACAAACAAAACGAAATGTACCATTCTCTCTTTCACACCTTAATGCTTCCCCCAGAGGGCCTGAAGTGTTTGCCACATTTGTGACATTCAAGCCTAACCTCAAATCAACCACCATGCGAGACCACCAGAGACATCAAGGGCCATGAACACCAGGCATCACACCCATCCAGCTCAAGCAGATGTGCATGAGTATTAACCAATATTCTTTGCAATGAGCAAACACAGTTGGCATCTGTGATCCTTTTTATGTTATCCCCTGTTTATCGACAACTAAACTAACAGAGTTTACATCAAATGGCATTTGGGAAACAATATGCATTGGTTTTTAATCACATAGGGTTTGTAATTTAAAGACTGTAGACGCAATAAATGCTTGGAGAATGTACTGACTACACATGGCCATAATAAAATGATACTCGTTAGACTTTGATTTAGAAGCCATATCATGCTTTTGCTCGCTTTGTGTTTAAAATTCCCGTAAGCTTCAAATTTGAAGCTGTTCTGTTTCGAAAACAAGTTGATAACACGTTTTTAAATAAAGCCTACAAATACCACAATGACATGAGTTCATGTGCATGACGAATCTAACATTTGTTGTAGTCTTTTTTATGTATAGGCTATATATATATAAAATTTCCTATCCACACAAACAAAAGCATGTTGATAGCCTATAGTCTTTAGCTTTTATGTCAGAGGTGTGACGTTCAGTAATTTATATTGTAGAACAAAGCGTGAAAGTCTTTTCGAGTAATGAATGTTAACACGTTATGTTCACAACAACTGAAACCCGCTATTGCAAAAACAAGACAAGTAAATTCCCGATGGAATCCGTATCGAACGCGCTTCTCCTCTTCCGGGTTTACAAACAAAACTAGCTATATTGTTGCAACTGTTTTAAGTAGGCTAGTTATCCCTGTTGGTACTGTTACTCCAACCTTTACCTCACATCACCTAGAACTTGAAAGGCAAGTACAAAAATGAAATACACTGATTGGCGCGCTTACTAGGCTACGTATTAAAATATAGTTCGCGTGTTACGTTTATTATTAGTCTAATCTTCTCCCGCTCTCAGATAATCACAACGTGACATTAAATGAACTTGGTTTATTATGACACTGGCTGAATCCCACTGGCTCAGCAAGGTACAATGAAGGCCAAACTGGTCGTTAAGCACAAACAATGGCTTGATTGATTGTTTTCAGTGTTGTCTTTATGAAAACAATCGTTTTCTTGCTGTGGAATAAGTCTGTATTTATATTAAAGCTTTTTCTTAGGAACCTGGCCCTCTATGCAGCAAAGTGGCTCGTTCAGAACAATGGCAGCGGCTGTTTTCGCGGGATCGGAGTCTCACCTGTCAGACTGTCGTAGCATTCGATCTCGGTGCTCTCCACCGCTCGCCGCTGCTCTTCCGTCAGCTTGGCCGCGGCTTCGTTCAGGAGGTTCACCTCGGATCCGGTGGTCCCGTCGACGACATGGATCCCTTTCAGCTGCAGCAGCGCCCTGTGATACTTCCCAATAGCTTCCCGGAATTTCTTCTCCTTGTAGCATCGGTGACCCTCCAGTTTGAAGTCGATCGCTTTCTGTATTTTCGCCTCCATCTCCATCTCCGCGCCGCCGACGCGATACCCTCCACCTCCGCCGTCCCCACCCGCCGCCGCCGCCAGACTCCGGCCCCCAGCCTCTGGATAGCTTTTCAGGCTCTTGATCGAGTGCTGCTTCGCTTCCATCTCGCTCAGGAAGCCATGCTGTTCCGACACGGATGCCTGTGTTCGCTTTAAGGGCTGGAGCAGCGTGCGGTGCATAAAGGATGCGAGCCAAACTGGAGCCGAAAAACACAAGCGCGACCGGATAGTATCTTCCAGGGGGGAGCTAAATACAACCCTAAAGAGTCCCGACTATTAAAACGCGTTAAAAGAAACAAAGAACAGACTCAAATAGGTGATCGCGGCTGTCTCTTGTTGACCAGAGCGTAACGCCTTTGCATGGAGGTGATGCTGGAGCAGGAGAACTCTTGCCGCCGGCGAGAGCAGCTTCAGCACCACAGACAGCGCCAACGAGTACTAGCGCGAGGCATTATGGGAAGGAATTAATCGTGAGATGCTGCTGCTACTGGTGGATCACGATTGCATTAAAGAGCAGTGGTAAATCTCCAAACGTCGTGAAGCCAAATATGAATGAAATATGCACAGGCTGGTCATCTTTACGTCATTATTAAAAAGTACAAGCCAGGCAAGCAACACTGTGTGGAAAACCTATTGGGAAATCCAGCTTATCTGGTAGATGTGATTTGAAACATGGTGGCTGGTCTAAGATGATCATTAGCTGGTGGATCAGCTACCATGTTAAAAAATAAAAATAAAATAGCTTAACCACTGAGATGTTATGACCAGCTGGTAGGTGGTTTGCTGCTGGTTCACAATGGTCTGCTAGTTCACACCAGCAGAGACCAGGACAGGACAAAAAGACATGCATGAAGCATGTAAAATTTGTCCTTAAATTAGCTTCAAGATCAACGTGGAAATAGTCTCCCTGGGAGCTTGAATGATTAATTTTCCCAGAGCTGGAACTGAAAAAAATGAATTTGCTGAAAATCGACTCCCTTAGGCCATCCAAGATGTAGAAGAGTTCTTCATCAGAACAGATTTGGAAAAATTTCACATTACATTACTTGCTCACCAATAGATCCACTGGAACGAATGGGTGCCATCAGACTGAGTGTCAAAACAGCTGATAAAAACATCCCAAAAATCCACAAGTAACCCACTCAACTCCATCAAAATTTTTGGGGTGAAATATTCCCTTAAATCTGCTGAAGCTGAAGAGATTATATACCAATTTGCATAAAGCTGAAAGGTTTGTTAAGATAAAGATCATTAATAAAATGCAAGAGATAGCATTATCCAGTAGTGTTTAAAAAGCTACTATTACTTTGCTTTCATGTATTAAGTTAATAAGAACATAAAAACACAAATAAATCTTTTCAGTGTAGTTATAAATTGTAATGCAGCTACATACTGTATCTAGGCTAAATTAATAACACAGCCTAGAAAAAACAGAGTCAGCATGAAGAGGCAAATGTTGAACAGTGATGAACTGCAGAGATCCTCTTACAAATCGCTCAGTGTACTGCAACACTGGAAACATATGGGCTTATGTAGTCCTCACCATCTGCATCATTTACTAGAGCATGCATTAAACGGAGCTCAGTGCAACGTTTCTTTGCTAGCACATCAGTTTCGAATAAGAACTAAAAATCATATCAATATGTCTATATAGTGACCTTTATCAAACTAATTATGCAGTAAAAGTCTCAAATGTGAGAATGCGGAATATTAATGCTGGTTCATACAAATGATTGCAGACCTTCATTTGTCAATTTGCTTGTGCTCTGCTACACAACCCCATAAATGGAAAAAGGGCCATCTCTTTCAGAGAGGAGTGCAGATTAATTTGCATTTTTCAATGCAAAATTCAAAGGGATGTAATTATAACTATAAATATGATAACACAATTAGAATATGCTCCAAAACCCAGTTGTTATGTTAACAACAATTATGCACTTCATATAAAATTGTATAAAGTTAATAAAAAACAATTCAAGATTTTTCGGTTTTATATTTTTATATTCAACCATTCCCAAGACAAATAATCTTCATCAATATTTTATAAACTTACCCACTTAAAATGTTTTATCTCTCTTAATATTCCTTAAACATAATGTAACGAAATTCTGCATTTGAGATGCTTAAAATTATAATATTTATAAAAAAGCGTAGGTGAATTCCTATTACAATGGCATGATTAGTGGTTACTGCAGTGAACAGTACAAAGGGGTGAAAACTTATACAATACACAAGGGTCCACCTCCACGTGTGTTGCTTGGCAACAGCATGCTATCACCAATGCTATATTTGCTCTGCTTGTCCAAGTAACACTTAACAACACAAATTTCCATTGGATGGCATTTTAAATGAGGAAATTTAACACTGATCGTGATTACGATTTTGTGTCTTTGAGCAAGGTTACAGTTGTGGTCACAAAGGGGCGGTCACACAACACTTTTCAATTTCATTTGTATGCATGTGAGCACGGGAGACCGGAAACACAAGCTCACACGAAACATATTTGCATTTTGGGCGTTTCAAGGTCTAATTTTTTTGGTGAACTGCAAATTCCTATTGCCACCAATAAAAGAAAAACACATCATGATGTGACCTCTCAGCTGAATAAAAAAAAACACACTGTAAAGCTGCAGGTTTGCAGAGTTGCAGGAAAAGGGAGTAGACTGTAGATTTTCTCATTTTGGATGTATTATTTGTTATATATATATATTTTTTTGCCCTCTAAAAGTCTAGTGTGACCGCAGGTTAAGGGGCATTAATGGAAATGCTCATGTGTGCAGTTTTAAGCAAACATAAGGCTTTTTCTTTATTATAAAAATCCTGTGAAGTGAAAGGAATAGTTCACGCAAAAAATAAAGTCACCATTTACTCCTCCGCTTGTCCAAAACTGTATGATTATTTTCTTCTGCAGAACACAAATGATATTTTGAAGAATATTGAAAACCAAATCATTCTGGTGCCCATTGACATCCATTTATCAAAAATCAATTCCACAGAAGAAAGAAAATCATACATTTTCGGAATGACATGAAGGTGAGTATATGATGACAATTCACATTTTTTTGTGAACTATCCCTTTAAAAACTAGGAGGTAAGAACATGAGATTACTTCATAGAGGAATTGGTATGCTGCAGTGTTTGTGGTAAACATAGCACATGCTTTTACTTAAGTCTCTTGGCTACCGTAGTGGGAAAAAAAAACCTTGACATTTCGAACATTTGATGCTGGGCGCCATGCATTATAAAATCTTTATTACAAACCCCCCTTTAATCTGGAAAAATGTTTCACTCACAGGGGCACAGGAGAGCAGCTATAAAAGTAGGATAGGGGGATAGAGCATGATTCCTATAACCAAACATAAGGACAACAGGTATGTCCACACTGACATTTAACAGATATTGCAGCTGTCCCTTTTTTCCCCTAGTATCATCAATTCATAACACTCCATGAGGTACAGCATTTCGACTTCCCAATCCATCAAGTGTGGTCCTAGAGTTTCTCCACTCAAATGGAAATTCAGGTGGGTTTTAAGTTATAAAATGGGCAAACTGGATAAAAAGGGGTGCCTTTCAGTTTTTTGGGTATTAGGTTTTCCGGGCACCCAGTCTCTTGAATACACTGACTGCCCCAGCGTCCATCTGAGCCCCGTGAGTGTCGCCTGTGCTACTACTGACCTTAGGGCTGGCCAGAGCAAAGCTGCCCTGGGCTTTGCTTCTGCTACTCGTAACATGACTGTCCTGGGTGTCTGCGGGCTGACTGACTAGAGGGGTCGAAGAGGTAGGGTGGACTGACGGGGCCTTGCCCAGTCTCTGCAGTACACCCAGTTTGGGTGTCCCCTTCTGGCTGGAGGAGGAGGTAGAGGAGGAGATTGGTGGTGTGCCTTCAGATAAGGGGAGTTTGTACTTTGCGCCTAGTCGACGCAGAGTGAGGGGTTTAGATTTGGCGGTTACAGTCTCTTTATTAGAAGTGGGTGGGGGTCGTTTGAGGACGCCGGCATACTGCAGCACCGAGCCCTCACCGTCGCTGTCATTGTCCTCGAAAGCGTCTGCAACACCATCTGTCTGTCCTCCACCCTCTTCATCTTCCTCTGCTTCACCCAGTCGGCTAAACACACCTGTTGCCTGCTGCATGAAAAAAAAGAGTCAGAAAGACAGTGATGTGAAAAATAGAAACACTTCATAATAAATTAACATCAGTTAATGCATTAGGAATCACGAACAACAAAAAATACTTTTACAACAATTCATTTTGGTTCTATGTTAATTTCTACATATACAAATACATTTATAACATTTTAAGTTAAATCAACATTAGTTAATGTATTATTAATAAAAAAAGAATTAAAGGGATAGTTCACCCAAAAATCAAAATTACCCCATGATTTACTCACCCTCAAGCCATCCTAGGTGTATATGACTTTCTTCTTTCAGACGAATACAATCGGAGTAATATTTTAAAAAGTCCTGGCTCTTCCGAGCTTTATAATGCCGTTCCAGCCGGATGACATAGGACGTCGGCGTCGTGAGAATATGCTAGTCTTGTGAGAACCAACGTTTGTTTACAGGAGCAAAGGAAGCAAAGTTTCCTTACTTTAGCAAAGGAAAACCAGTCTCCTCTTGGCTTATATCGAAATCCTCCAAATTTTTTCTTCACAAATCCAACGACAGTTAGCGCAAGCTAGAGATTACCGTTTATAACATTTTAAATATAGATATTTTTCTTTAAAAAAACACATCGATTCGCTACAGGAGTCCTTTATTCACCCCCCGGAGCTGTGTGAGGCACTTTTTATTATGGATGGATGCGCTTTATTTGACTTCTTTTGGACTATTGAAAAATAATAACCACCCACTGCCATTATAAAGTTTGGAAGAGCCAAGACGTTTTTAAACAGGGTTTCTGCAGACATGAACAAGTTAAATTTAAGACTTTTTAAGACCTTTTTAATACCAACTTATATGAAATTTAAGACCTAAACCTGTAATGGAAATACACATTTTATTACATACATATATGTAATAGATAATGTGTATAAATTAAAAAGAAAACAAAATATCATTGCTGTAATAAATGATATTTACAGGCAGAGCGCACTCTAAATGCGCAAGCGCACTAGACTTTACGTAATGCGTGCAGTCTGTAGGTGTTTTGAATGTTTTTTGCGTCGTGAGAATATTGAGCAAAATAGCTCACTTGTCATGGTGGTATTTAACTATATCATGTTATGAATAAACTAAACATTTTGAATTTTTACCTCAGTGTGTTTCTTCTGAGTTTATGTGTGCTGTCACGCTCATTTGTTCTGAAGTCTCGAGACAAACAGAGTGAGCCTCAGCGCGAGCTTGTATTCTGTATTCTGCTAACTTACTGCAATTCTCTGATGATGCAGTAACTTACTGCGGGGAAGAAAAAATCTTCGGTCTGTCCAATCATTGTAAAGTCATTAGGTCCTTCAGACTGAAGATATTTTAGCGGTAATGAGACCAAAATATTTAAGACCCATCGAATCCGAATTTAAGACATTTTAAGACTTTTTAAGGCCTTATATTAGGAAAACGTTATTTAAGACATTTTAAGACTTTTTAAGGACCCGCGGACACCCTGTTAAATATAACTCCAATTGCATTCGTCTGAAAGAAGAAAGTCATATACACCTAGGATGGCTTGAGGGTGAGTAAATCATTAGGTAATTTTCATTTTTGGGTGAACTATCCCTTTAACAATGAACTACAGCATATTTTGGAATTAACATTAGCCTAGATTAATCAATGACCTAAAAATGGTTAATTGCTGGTTTATGATACTCAATGCACTAATTTGAATGTTACAGTAGTGTTAGTCACTAAATGATAATGTGTGTAATAAAGAGAAAATTCTTAGTGTCTGAGTTTTTGCGGTCTTGTTTATCTGATGGACAAAATCAATACAATACAATTTCTCACCTTATTGGCTGAGGTGGTGTCTCCCTTTGACTCTGCCCCAAGTCTATCAAACACTGAAGTACGCTCTAAAACCTTAGCTGTGGCAAAGTAGGGAAGATTATAAGATCAATCTTATCTGTATCAATTTCAAATGATTAGTTAGGTGGTTCTAATTCAACAGTTCAAATTACTGCAATATCATATTAGCTTAAAGACTCAACAAAATATACTATCTCAGGGCACCTTTCTTTGCCTGCTGTGCCAGGATGCGCCGAGTGCGAGCTGTTGTGCCTTTTGGCATGTTTATGATATATTTCCCCTCCATTTCTCTTGTGACTTTCCGGCGCTTCACTTGCAACCCATTTTCTTCTGCTGGCTTGCTGGGCACTGTGAGAGGAGGAAAAAGAGTTTTAAATCATCCTGTTCCATTTAAAGAAATAGTTCATCCAAACATGTATTCTACTTTTCAAACGTCAGGGTCAGTAAGGTTTTTTTTATTATAAATTAATACTTTCATTTAGCAAGGATGCACAAAATGTATAAAAAAAAGACAGTAAATAATTCTACATTCTATGTAGAATTTTTTTTAATTTCAAATAAATACTGTTCGATTCCTTTCTATCGACCCTGAAAAACATCAGTTTCAGTTTTCACAAAAATATTAAGCAGCATAACAGCAAATCAGCATATTAGAAGGATTTCTGAAGGATCTTGTGACGCTGAAGACTGGATTAATGACTGCTGAAAATTCAGCTTTGCCATCACAGGAATGGAATGCGTTTTACAAAATATAAATGGTAATAATACTTCAATATTACAGTCTTTACTGTACTTTATTTTAAAAATATCTTACCAACCCCAAACTTTTAAACAATAGTGTATATGCTACATGTATGCATTTTATATGCAATAAGTGCCCTGGGCAATCAATGACTAGCACATCCATTCAATAAAAAACATGACTTAACATCACTGCTTGTTAAAGGGGTGGTTCAAAGCGATTTCACTTTTATAACGTTAGTTAGTTAGTGTGTAATGTTGCTGTTTGAGCATAAACAATATCTGCAAAGTTACGAAGCTGAAAGTTCAATGCAAAAAGAGATATCGTCTTTTAAAATCCTGGCAGTTTAATGCCTACAAAAACGTGGCGGGTTCGTGACATAAACCCAGATAAACCCCACCCTCAGGAAAAGGCAGCAAAGGCCCATCGCCTATTTCTGAGGGCGGGGCTTCATAGAAGCAGGAAATGATCATCGCGTTTCTCAGAGAAGGGACAGACCGGTGTGGAATAAAGGTAAATTATGTGAAAAATAATGCGTTTTTTTAAAAACGAAGCATTAACACATCTAATCAGATGTACCTGTTTTGGCACTGGCGTTGGAGACCGTTACTGAAATTTGGTTGTCAGGGCGCCGAGCAGGCGTGCTTGGTGGGGAGTCCCGGCTCAGAGCATTGGCGATCATGCGTGTGGCAGCTGTCAGGGGAACATGAACATTACCAGAGCTACAGCTTCAGCCCACTCAAACAAAGATAAATCACTCCCTGTATGAGCAACCAGTAGAAGAACTGCATACATATATATATACATATATACATATACATATATATACACATATACATATATATATACATATACACATATATATATATATACACATATATACACATATATAT